GGGGGAAGAGACGAGCGGCCCAGCGACAGGAGCCGCCGGGGCTCGCTTCGGAGAGGAGGGGGAGGAGGGGGGGAAGAGATGAGTGAGGCCCGACGGCTTGCTTAGGAGGGGAGGGGGAGAGAGACGAGGGAGGCCTACGGAGGGGAGGGGAGGGGAGGGGGGAAGAGAAAAAGTAGAGACCCAACAGTAGGCAACATTTTGTTGCGGGTCTCCACTTGTCATACCTAATTCTTAACTTGGCCAAATCTGTGGATAGTTTAATCCAAGTATTGGGCCCATGGACTGACAAGACAGATCTTTCTACAAACCTGAGAAAAGTTCCAAATTTGCAGAAAAATCTCAAAACAACAACAACACTGAAGGGTTAATCCCCCCCCAGTAGAAACGGCACCTGTAGCTTTAAGAAATGAATGCACTCAGTGGCCATTGCTAGGCAACCACAACAGCCTTGGTTTCCTTCAGCAAAAGGTGGGCTTTTTCAGGAATGTTTTGGCCTTTGTGGGAGGACTCATTGGGGACAGACCCAGCAGTAACCACCAGGTGACTTGATACCACCTGACTTCATGACTCACTCACCCCTGTTTCCCACTGTTCAGCTGCAGTATGGTGTAGTCCCTAATCAAGCTATGCTAACTAGGAATCCTTCAGCTGCCCCCTGTAGGCTGTTCTTTAGATCTTTTCACTCAGATCAAGGAAGTTCACTATAGACCTTGTATATACCAACACCCCTTCTCAAGTTCTATTGTGCAAGTCCACAAGATTCATTTGTCTTCGTAGAATCTCAGCTTTGCAAAACAGTGTTGGAGTTTAACAACTGTACGTTTAGAAATTCCATTTGTATTCTACCCTCCTTCCTGGAAATGCTTCTGTGAATGTCCATTTCTGATTCATAAATGGAGATTTAATTCCTTCCTCTGTGGCATTTCTCCATCTTTCTGCCTGATCAGTGGGCATTCTCTTTGTCCTCCCATGTGGAAGGTTCTGTTGCAGTCTCTATTTTGGTCAGGTAGGAGAGTTTTCTTGGTGGTACTCGCTTGTTGGATCTAGCCGATCATCTGACCTTTGGTTCCTCATCCCCTTCTAGTTCCTGGGGATCTTCCAGTGTGCTTCTGCCCTAATATTACAGCCCCAACTAAAATCACCACCCCTTATGACTTTTTAGAGCTTAAATGACCCAACACAGATCACCAAATTCCTGTGTAACCCTTAGCCAGGAATGTTCCATTGTGGTGGTGGAAAGTTCTGTCAAGTTGAAGCTCACTTATGCTGACCCCATAGAGTTTTCAGGGGAAGAGATGAACCGAGGTGGTTTGCCATTGCCTGCCTTTCTATGGTTTGCCATTACCTGCCCTGGACTTTCTTGGCAGTCTCAAATTCAAGTACTAACCAGGGCTGACCCAGCTTAGTTTCCAAGATATGATGAGCCTGGTCCACACTAAGAAAAAGTGGAATGTTGCATATAAGAATAATAATTTCCTGTGCGATATATATTTATTTTGTCTCACTCTCTGTAGACATAAGTTTTTCAGGTTTGAAAGCAG